TGATTGTCATATCAACGTAGAAGTCGCGGTTGGAATCGAAGCTGTTAAGTATATTTATAAATATATTACAAAAGTTCATGATCGAAGTTACCTTGCTTTAGAAGATCAAGATGAAACAAAGAAGTTCATAGATGCACGATATATTAGTCCTCCAGAAGGTAAGAGCTTGGCGTTCTTGTTGGAAAACACACATATTAATTTGAATTTCTTTTTAGCTGCTTGGAGACTTTTCCAATATGACATGTCGGATCGATACCCCGCCGTTCAACGCCTAGCTCTGCATGATGAAACTGCGAAGAAGTTGAAGTTCAAGAAAGCTAAAGGCGACATTGCTGAAATTGACTCAGGGGACGCGGGGACTACAACTTTGAATGAATTCTTTCGTGCTTGTGAAAAGAACATGTCTGCACTCGGTCATCAAGCTAAAGACTTAACGTATCAGGAATTCCCGAAGTATTTTTGGTGGGCGGACGGGAAGGAATGGCGACCGCGCATTTGTCCAACGCAGACTGTAGGACGCTTACATTTTATTTCAATACATCAAGGGGAGCGTTATTATATATGTCTACTCTTATTGCATAAACAAGGTCCAACTTCATTCAGAGATTTACGTACTATACAAGGCCATTTATATAAGACATTCAGAGAAGCTGCAGCCGCAATGGGGTTGCTGCTGAATGACAATCATTATGATCAGGCCTTAACGGAAGCTGCGAGATTTAAAACGGGCTTTGAGTTGCGCTTGATGTTTGCCCTTATATTGGTGTATAGCCCGCCGGCAAATCCAGGAGCATTATTGACTAACCATATTGGAGCTCTCGGAGATGATGTCAAAACCCTTCTCGAAAAACGTTTCGGGGCAAATTCTCCGGCGCGTGATGAGGTTGAATCTTATACTTACTGGCTCTTACGTGAACACTTAACTGAAATGGGAAAAATATTTTATTCGGTTGGCATTGCTATTTCGCCAACGATGAGATCAAAGATGGAAGTCAATGACAAGAATCCCGAAGAAGTTTTTGACCTGATTGAGGCGGAGAAAAGACTCCACATAAATCAAAATCTTTTTACAAAAGAACAGGAAACATTTTTCGCGCAAGTGATATTCACGGTGAACAAACATCTCAGTCGGATGTTCTTTCTTGATGGGCCAGGTGGAACAGGCAAAACATTTGTGCTTAACAGCATCATCGACGCCACCAAAACCAATCACAAAACTGTAGTGGTCGTAGCGTCGACAGGTGTAGCAGCCCTATTACTCTCTACAGGCCAAACAGCACATTCGGCGTTTAAATTGCCAATCAATTTGGGGCCGCAAACGACATGCGCCATTGAGGAAGGGTCTGCCCAGAGTCTGCGACTTTTAGCCACTGATCTTATAATTTGGGATGAAATTGTAACGATGCATCGCCATGCGATAGAAGGGGTCGATAAGTTATTCCAGAAACTAAAGAATTGTTTGAAACCTTTTGGAGGAAAATGTGTCTTATTCTCGGGGGATTTTAGGCAGACGTTGCCAGTGGTCGCCGAAGAAGAAACACCACCGTCGGCTCATGCGACATTGAAATCTTCTCCTCTCTGGCCTTGATTAAAGAAATATGCCTTGTCTGAAAACATGAGGCTTGCGAAAGGAACGGGTGACGCGCGCGATTTGGGTTTACGATCCTTTGGGCAAGAGCTATTGGAGATTGGTCAAGGAACGTTTCAGGATAGCTTTGCATCAAGAATTCAATTGAAGTCGGTTGAGGTTATGGACACACTATCACCTGTCAAACGTATTAGTGAAGGAGTGAAATGCATATACAACGATATTGGGGGTCAGGTCTTTAAAACTGAAAATGATTGTCTCGGTTACCTCTTGGATAGGTGCATCTTGACACCATTGAACGTTGATTCATGGGCAATAAATAGATTCGTGCTGCACCTGATGGGCCAGCCCACATTTGTTTCAGTATCAGTTGACAGACCTGACAAAGAAGCAATCGACACACTACCTGAAGAAAGTCTTAATAATCTAGAATTCCCCGGCTTTCCAGAACATCATCTTCACTTATGTATTGGAATGCCAGTAATGTTATTGAGAAATCTAAATATAACACAAGGTTTGTGTAACGGGACGCGTTTGCTTGTTACTAGGATAAAGGACCAAACGATTGGAGCGAAATTCTTGACTGGGCCGAGAAGAGGCAAAGAGGTCACATTGCCGAAGATCTTACTGCGACACGAGGGGGAGGCAAAAGCAAAAGTGTCTTTCTATCGGCATCAATTTCCTGTTGTGTCCTGTTTTGCTATGACCATTAATAAGAGCCAAGGCCAGACATTAGGAAAAGTGGTGGTAATGTTGAAATCACAGGTTTTCGCGCATGGACAACTTTATGTAGCTTTATCTAGGGTAACTAATCCCAGTAATTTGTTTGTAGTTCAGTTGGGGGCAACAAAATTGATTACTAATGTTGTAAATAAAGATTTATTTCAATAAGAAAGGGAAGTTGAAGAAGGACTTTACATGATAAAATTATGGGCTGCTGTCAGGTAGAATAGTTTGAGTTCGTTGTACATTTGTCAAGGGGAGGCGCATGCGAAGGGTAAAATGAAGTGATGAGGTCAACGATCACGTGATAAATGGAATGCTAGGGCAATCGTTGAGAGATAAGTTGCGGATGCATCGAAATCGATTTATGAATGGATGCAAGGGGTCGCTTAAGATAAGCACTGGCATTTGGTTGTTTTCTTCGATTTGATATCTAAATTGAACCAAGACCCCCACGAGAATTTGCTCTGTTTTTCAATAGCTTCAGCTTATACCTCAAATGTTGTTCCAAGGCTGCAAAAAAATCGAAGGCCCGTTACGTAGAGGAACGGGTGGTTTATATATTCTCCATGTCCCGCAAATTAGACAAAGTCAAGAAGAGGCCCAACCAGAAGTCTGGTCTCCGGCATATAATTTAATTTTTCTGGCAACAGAAATAGAATTATTGAATAGTCACAATGATAAATGGATCTCGTACAAAGCTCGATTGAATACGATGTCTAACGGAAACGTTTTCAAATTAATTGGCATAGAGGTCCGAATTTCACCACGACGGCCACCTCCATACCTTTTTCCATTGTCAAATGGACCGGTTGTAAGTTAGATTGGCTCGGTTGCGTGTATGAGCCCTTTAGTTATGGCGGTAATGACCGATGCCCGTATTGTAAGTTAGTATAGGTTGTGTTGAATATAAGTTGACTGACAGGTTCTATAGGTTTGTGACCCAGTAATCATTGTTACGGTCAGTGGGCCACATGTAGATTGGTATGATATGTTAGAGGATACACGGAGAGGAGCGATCTTATATTTTAACGGGACGTGGATCATGGGGTCTCAAGAGTTCAATTTTCTTAACATTGAGGTAAAGTTCTCCGTTCACATTTATTGGTTTGGTCTCTCAATCTCACAAGGACTCTGTTTAGGCGCGTGTTGTGATTCCATCATTTTTGCCACTACACGATGGACAGTCTGTCAATAATGTCTAAGCAATATATTTCTTGGGTAAATCAAGTATTGTAGTTGAAAAGTTATAGTGAAATTGAAGTTTAAAGGAAATGATAAGATGTTTGCCCTAGAATTCCAGGCATACAAATGAATGCACGCTGTGCCCGGCTGTTTTGTCAAAGCGGAATTTGAAGTGACAGCATAGTTCAGGGACAAGGGGCATCTTCTATTGAGGAAATCGATAGAGCATAGAAAGGATGCCTATGGTTTAAGGGAGAATGAAAGTAAGAGACTAATCTGCAGGGGGGCCGCCGGTTAAGGCGAGTTAAAGCAAGGGGTAATCGATAACTGTAGTGGATTTATGATGCAGGGCAGGGATAGTCCAGTATGCAGGGCAGGGATAGTTCAGTCCTGAGTATCTCGCGAAGATAGAATCTCGCGTAGTGTTGGCATTTTAACCGGGTCCAATCACTAGAAGAACATTCTACGACACTTTGGATCTTCCTCTCACTTGATCTTGACTAATCAACCATTATGGATGTTCGCGGATGCGAAAGGACCATCGGCACCATAAATCAAGGAAGGGCGGGCACTTTCATATATCATGTCCCAGGAATGGAGCGGAGAGGAGCCGGAAGTCGTCATGGCCCAATACGCTCGCCACCGTACATTTTAGTTTTTCGGGGCCTGGATGATCGGATCTTGGCAACGAGGGCAAGGATTTATATAGCCTACGCAGGAACTTGGACTCGGGAGGGGGCAACTGGTCAATTACGCATAAACGCGATGATCACACGATTTGCAATGCATCCACCGGCATTGTTCATAGGCTTTCTCAATAATGGACCAAGTATTTTGGGGATAGGTGTGGTTGTGGATACAGACGAGGCCGTAATCCGAATGATAAGAGGAAGGGACGAGGTAATTAAGGCTATGCTAAATTGAAAACTGAATTAAGCTGATGGTCCGGATGTGTCGCAGGGACCAATGATCAGATTAAACCTAAGCAAAAGGGATATTATCGAAGAAGGTGGAAACATCAGTCTTGGGCGGCGTGTATATTTCAGCGGAAGAGTGATGGAAAATATGAGGGGGGAGCCAGCATTGAGAGTTCAAGTAAGTCGTTTAATAGTCTAAACTGAGTTCTAAAGTTGATTTTCAATCATTTTAGGTATGCACATTCTTAACCGGAAGAATTGGCGATTTCGGGCAAAATTAACGTGGAGGAATGTCACTTTGATTAATATTATGCCTTAAGTGAAAAGATCTGCAAGGGTATCTTGTAGTGGATATAAAATCCTTTAAAATAAAGAAATATATGTAAAGGCAAAGTTTTGGTTGTGGACGAGTAATAAATTTCTCTTTACGTCAATGCGGGCTTTAGCATTTCGTTATAGTAGTATTGAAGGCGAGTCATAGGCCAATGGCCTGGGAAACCATAATTATGGCGGGCGGTGGAGCCACCCCTAAACCCTAGTGTACATAAAATGTAGCGTGGAATTTTGTTTGAATTTTTGCTGAGAAAATGAATGTCAGCAATGCGCAAGCAAGAAAAAAAAGAACAGCAGGTTCAAGAAGCAAAAAAAACACTATTGTGAACCCCACTAATATAACAGTAAGTTCTTGAAAAAAAAAATGATTCTTGTTTTTGTTGTTCATTCCTTGATTATAAACTTTTTTTTCTCTGTATGATTGGTTGACTAAAACGTTTTCTGTGTTGAATTTCTCTTGGTGAAGGGTATGGTAGGATGAGAATGTTTTTGGTAGCCCTGGTTATATATAAGTTAAGGAAAGATCTGGAGAGTGACATGAGTTCCAGGAGAGTTGGCTTGATTGGGCCAGCTGGATGAAGCAAAGATAGCTTTGTCTTGCTTGTAGGTTGATCAAATAATTCACCTGTTCCAAACAAAAATAAATAAATAAAAAACTTCCAACTTGTAACCAGGTGTCCAATCTGGTCCCAGCAACATCTGTTCAACCCACAGACTGGATCTGGGTTTGGGATCAGCCTAGAGATCTGGCATCCAGTCTGATGCTAAAAACCCCCAGATATTGGGGGCGGTTCTGGGTCCAAGGTACAGGATTGGAACCCTACTTGAGTCATAACCCAATCACATCAAGCAGGCAGAAAGTTTCTGCTTATTTTATTTTATGATTTTTGCATTTTTCTTTTGAGTTATGTGGTGAAAATGTTGATGTTCAGGCAGTTGTCAATAGCTTTAATTTATTCCATCTTTTTACAGACTCTAATGGGAAGTTTGAATATCTGTCTTGGTGGGAAAGATGATGAGAAATGGGTTTTTGGGCAAAGTAAGTTTCATAGAGTTGGCCCAAACCCATCATGATCAAGACAGGACTGGTTCAAGCAGAGACAATCATGTTTGTTTGGGAAGTTGTTGAGAAAGGGTCTTTGGATGAAGTAAGTTTCACAGAGTTTGCCTAAACAGATCAGCTGAAAGCACATGTTTTGCTGTGTGGGACAATGTGAGAGGCTCTCTACTTAAGGAAGTGATCCATTGGGGAAAAATAAGCTCCTTGGTATATTCAACACATTGTTCAAGTTTGGCCAGCAAGATGCTGTGTTCAAAAAGCCCTTTTCTTTTTCTGGCTCTTTACATATTGCAAGCTAGTCAGCTTGCACTATCAGCTGAGGAGGTGGTAGGAATAGGTAAACATATTAGTTTGGATTCTACAAGTAAAATTTAAAGCCTGACATTTTGCTTTGATTCTATCTCCATATGATCTCTCATAGAAAATGTAACACCACAGATAATGAACCCAAAATCTACCAATTGTGTTAACATAATAGATACTCCAGGATCACTTTCTGAACATAGCAAGCATGAAAATTTGGGTGAAGCTATGCATGGAGTGATCAGCACCCCTGTGGATCCAGCTTCAGAGAAACAAGGTATGTTATGTATTTCTATGTATCATTTCTCTCTGTCTCTCCAGGTTCTTTCTTCCATCTTGCTCTGTTACTAACCTTTCCTGGAGTACAGATTCACTTGACAAGTCAATGGAAGATAGAGTCAAAAATCTGATTAAGAATCTCAAAGCAAGTGACATGGAAGAATTGGAAGCTGTCATTAACCACCTGCAACAGTTTCATAATTATCTGGCTTCATCAATTGAAGAGTCTGAAAAGACCATCAAAGATCCTCAAAATCTGGTTAAATCAAAACCTTCTGAAAAGGAAAACTTATTTGACGGTTATGAAGATTCTAAAATCACAGTAGTTCCCATTGGATCAGCAATAAATTTGAACATGAAATTATCTTCTACAACATATGTAAAAGATATTATTGAAGCCAGGGTGATTCCAATTTGGAAATATCTACAGGCAAAATCCATTAGTCTCAAATATGAACCTCAAGAAAAGGAGCCAGAAACAAAATTGAATTTTCTAAAATCATTATTTAATTTAGGAGATTACATTTATAAAAATGGTTTATTATCTCAAGAGGAAATGAAAGAAATTGAAATCTTCAAGCCATCAATTGTTGTCAAGTTGCTCAAGTTGAATATTGACCTCTTAATATCCACAAAAGGAAAGGATCTCTTTGGAAGTCCTCATTGGGTGGCCCCACACATCAAACAGTTGATAAAGAATCCTGAACTGAAACACATGCAAAGATCCATCAAAGGTGTGTTTTTGGATCTATCATCAATGTGTGACATTTTGTCTCCAATTGAGCTGATTGCATCATTTTCACATCCCTTATCCAGGACTTGGAGAACAGCACCAAAGTTTCACTGAATATCTGACACTCAAAAGTATCATAGCCAATCATAGACTACTGTGCCCAGATGGTTATGATGACTATGCTGGACTCATCAGTTTTTGGGGTTTATTTGTGAAAGAAAGGTTTATCAAGGATGAAGAAAACTGTTTGCTAAAACCATCAGACAATTTCAAATTCAGTGAAGACTTTCTTTCCAAATTTTGGTGGCTGGGCATCTTTCTAGAAAACCAACCTAAATTTACCAAAGAGCCTCAAAATAAGATCCAGAGTCTTCACTTCACAATCACAAACTACATCTTACAGTTCATTGGGGTTTATAAGCAACATATCCCAAAAGAATGTTGGCCCAAAGAGCCTCTCCCAAAATTCTGGTCCCTTCCTTCAGAAAATGAAGTACTCAACTCACTTATCAAATTACGCAACTATTCATTTGGAATATCTATTCAAAATAATCAAGACATTCAGAATGGGTTGAAGTATCAACAAAGTAAGAAATCAAGAGGGGTTAGATGGAACTTATCAGTAAACAATCTATTTGGAAATTGTTTCAAGAAATCTCCCTAAATCCACAAAGAAAGAATACCCTGTCCAGGATTGATTCAAAAGATCCATCCTTCAATATCTTATAATCTTCAATCATCCAAAAAAATGGGTAACTAATCGCTTCTTCCACCCATCTGAATCTTCCCAAATCATTCCAACCTTTTTCCTGTAAATGCCTCTATCCTCTTTTTATCTTTGATTTGGATTGGATCACACTTTTTTCTTCTTTAAATAATACTATAGATACACACTGACTTGAACCAGCCATCCATGTCAATTAGACTCCTTTTTAATTATATTTACTTGGCCAAAACACACTTTTGTTAATCCACCTCATTTTATCTCTCCCAAAATATCCCTCATGTTCCATTTTTTATTACTTTTTGATGCACATAGATCTAATTGTCTTTTGGTGAATAGTTGGTTATTTTCTTTTCTCATTAAGCTTTGATGATCAGGAGTCTGATGAAACTAAGATCATGAGTGCTATTTCTTTTGAACCAACATTAAGGGGGTTCACTCACTGCTGATGCTGGAATCATTAGCCAAACCTTGTTAAAATGGGACTTTGCTGATGCATTGCAAAGCAATAAGGTTTATTGAGGAGATCTCCTTTAGAAGCAAGATCCCACAGTAAAACTTAACCAATAAGAAAACCTTGCTTCACATCAGCAAGGATTTTGGTGGAACGTGAACCCCCTTATTGACTTGCAGCTCAATAGACTAAGATAGAGAGATGACTGAGGGTGTCCAACAAGCACTCATGAGTTAGGAATCAAGAGCAGCATATTGTCAAGGGATGGGTCAGCTGACAGGACCTCCGAACCGAGCATTTCTAAAAAAATGTCAAGTAAAAGTCGGTCGCTCTTAACATCCGCCTATCCTTGGGCTCGCCATGATCCTCTTCTTTGCAACACCAAATGCTTCTATGTTTTGTCAGCCAGCAGCTGAGGTAAGTATGAATACATGTTTCTTCTTCTGATGAGACGGGTTTTCTTATTGGTATGCAATAATACTGAGGGAGACGGCTATTGAAGCAACAGAGATGATACAATAATGGTATGTATTTGTGTATTCCCATGCAATCAAGTTTGGACAATAAGTTTCATAGGGTCGGCTGAACTCATGATGCCATTGCAGGGTTTTAGGGAAGTAAGATACCATGTCTTTTGTTTTCCGAGTACAAAAAATGAAATCTTGGGAGTGATCTGTTCCTCAAGCCTGGTTTTTACGTAGTACTCCCTCAACACAAAATCCAGTAATTTCACCGAAAAGATGATCCGATCAGAAATCTCCTTTATTTTTATCGCTCTCTTCATATGTAGAGCCAATCATCTTGCAATATCCAGCGAGAGGGTTGACATATGGAGCAACCCGGATTCCATGAGTATGATTTGAATCCTTGTTTGGGAAATTTGTCGGCTTTCTTGATAACGTGCTTTTTTGCCATTTTTCTAATTCCCCTTTCTGCCCTAGAAGAGGCGATGCCGCTCATGATGCGCTCCAAAAATCCCAACTTTGCCAACGCAGATTCGGCAGGCAAACTTTCAAAGTCAACAGATGGCCGATCGAGCCAGTCAGATGAAGATGAGCGAGAAATAGAGCCTCCCCTAGAATTGGTTCCAGGAAAACTAGGCAAGTGTTTTAATCATTTTCCTCTCTGATCGACGTCACTGCAGAACTGACTTTGGCTTGGGTACAGATTTGATTCATGAGTCAATGGGAAAGAAAATTAATATGCAGAACACCGACTCACTCAAACCTCATGAAAAGGAAGAATTGGAAGTTGTTACTAAGCATCTACAACAGCTTCAAAATTATCTAAAGTTACCAATCGGAAAGTCTAGCGAAGATGAAATTGGAAAACTCGAAAGTCTCGTTGAACCTCTGTTCCAAAAAGAAAATCACTCTTCCCATCATGGAAGTTGGAGAAATCCAATGTCTATGGTGAAAGGAGCGACCAGAAAGTTATCATCGAAGCGACAAGACGGTGCGGTTTCTGGGACTGGTATAAATGAAATTATGAAAACGGATTTGATTCCGTTATGGCGAGATCTACAAGCAAAATTCATCAAGATAAAATGCAGAGACCCAAAGGAAGATTCGGCGCTCAAGTTGAAATTTCTAAGATCACTGCTCGTTTTAGGAGATTACATTCACAAAAATGAATTGCTACCTCAGAGGGAAATCAAAAAGATCAAAATCTTTGAGCCAACAACTGCCATCAAGTTGTTCCAGTTTCATACTGAGCTTTTAATTTTCAGCGAAGGCAAGGATCTCTTTGGAAGCCCCGAGTGGGTGACCCCTCAGATGGACCTGTTGTTGAGCAACCCTTCCTTCGGACCGTTCCACAGATCCCTTGCAGGTTTGTTTTGAAGTTGCTTGTTGATTTATGATTTGGTTCAAAATTAACTGATTCTGCTTTATTTCTTTGCCCCGAACACAACCCGAAATCGCACAATGATCCTTTGCTTCAATACAGCCCTTACAGAAGACCATCAAAAATATGTTGAACACCAGACTCTGAGAAGCATAATATCAAATCGCGAATCTCTGGTGCCAGAAGGCAATAGATCTTATTCCAAAGTCGTCAGCTTCTATCAACTATTTTTGAATGAAAATTTCATCAAGCATGAAAAATTAGGTTTACTCAAGCAACCAAGAGATTTTTCTCGAATCAGTCCAGACATGATATCAAATCTATGGAATTTGATTGTCTTTTTTGGGGGTCAAACCAAATTGCTTGAAGGGCAGGAACAGCAAGTCCAGAAGTTTCACATTATAATGTCATACCATCTGATCAAATTCCTCAAGCATTACAATTATCAGGTTCCAGGACAAGGATGGCCTCACGATTTCTTGAGCACTTTCTTGGTCTCCTCAGACCAACTGGAATATCTGGGCTCCCTGCTACAACTAGCTCAAAAGGGATTTAAAGATCCTGAGCTGAGAAATGAGGTCACAAGAACCAGAAAAAACTTGACACAATCGGTTCCTGAAAGAATGAACAAATCAGTCATGCGATGGATGGTATTGGTAGATAGTTTATTTGGAAAACCTAAAAAGTAGTCCTAATAATCAGGAGAAAGTATCATCTAATCATGAGGCTCAAAATTACAGTTTCTTGCTAATGAACAAATTTGCTGCCATCCATAATACATAGATAATATTCCAATTCATTGAAAGATTAATATTCAAGATACTCTAATGTTTGACACATCTTCATTTTGTTCAGAATGATTGATCATTTTTGAAACACTTTCTCCAATCCAAGCTCCAATTTTGCTTGCATTTAAGGTTTTATCTGCCTTGTTACACCATAAATTTCAATTTCATCCGCCTGTCCAGGACTGCTCTAAATTCTGCTACAAGTCATCACTTTTTTCTCTGAATGTTTTGGAACTTTTTCTGCATCTAATTCAATAACAGGGTGGCTAATCTCTCTCTCAAACTCAAGCTCCAATAACAATTGAACCCATCTTTATTGTATACAAGAGGGGCATTCAAAGTTGGACCATAATTCATGCATAAACAAAAATTCATAAATGATTTCTTGCTCATGAATGAATTGAGACACAGATTATGTAAAGATCTCTGTGGAAAATGAAATTATGTTTACACATTTATGCACCAGCTTTGAACAAGCTTGCTAGCTTCTGGGAAAAGCTAATATTAATGGGAGAGAGGTTCAATATTCCCAACAGATGGACCAATCAATCCGCCCTTCTTTGATTGTGAACAATGTGATACATGAAAGAAAGAAGGAAAGCCTCAGGGGCTGTCCTGACCGGTGGGCAAATCGTGAGAGAATCTTGCCAAAGAATCTGCATTCCAACGCAATATGACCCCCCAAAAAGTGAAGTGATATTCATATAACTCAGACTTGTTTATTTGATTTACACATTCCCTTGTTTATCACCTTGATCTGAAATCAGATAGAATTTCCTTTTCCCAGTCTACATCTAACCCCTCTCACTTAAATAAAACAAGAGACAACATTAAAAAAAAACAAGACTAGAAGGGCCCTCCCATACGCAAAAAAAAAAAAGAAAGACCAGAGCAGGAAAAAAAAACAATCAAGAAGGATTAAGACTAGACGTGCGAAAGATGAGGCGTTTATCGCGTTCGCCGGAGATCGAGACGAGGCCTTCATCAGCGAGCGCTTTGAGCACATCGGCGAACTCGGACGGGTCGATCGGAAGGGAGGATTGGTTGGCTAGCAATTCGAACAGGATCGGCCACCGCACTCCGCCCGTCGATTGGGTTTGCGCACTGTCTAGTAGTTTCAGAATCTCTCGTTTCAGATCTTCTTGTAATTTACGTTGGTGTAAACCTTGGCCAGTCTGTAAAAGATCCAAATCTATATATATATATTTTATCCCAAAGAGACATCATTAGTATTTTTTTTGTTTAAAAAAAAGCTTTATTAAAGGATGTATATAAACAGAGAGAAAATTTACCAATCAATCCGGTGATTGGATCAGTCGCGCTTTCTTTCAGGGCTTCGCGAATGAGACGGTTAGCCTCCTCGACATCCGCGACGTCGACGGTCTCACTGAAGCGCATCCTGGCGTGCGCCTCGCTGAGTCGGACCATGCTTTCGAGCTGTCTAGTCGTGGCAGTGATCCGTCGCTCGCTCGTCCGACTGTCTTCTCCCGCTTTGCGCATCGTCACATATGCTCGCACTAATGCGTCACAGGCATCTTCCGTCAACACCGGATGGATATGGTTCCTTGCAAACGAAATGTATGCCGTTAAGGTTTGTACTGGCTGTACCACAATAAAAAAATCCATCGTCTCAATATAAAATGAAGCATGACTAGAAAAGAAAAGAGTGTGTCTATGTTCCATACCAAGATATCCAAACCGCCAGTCTCTGGTCGATCCTCGAGATAAAGCGCGACGAGATGTTTAGCAAGTTTACGATCGGAGGCTTCATCGACCTTATCGAGGACGAGATAGAGAAGATCGAAGCGAGAGATCAGGGTGGGAGGGAGGTCGATATTCTTAGTGATAGGCCAGGCGAGATTGTACTTGGAGCCGACGGGATTAGCGGCAGCCAGGACGGAAGTACGGGCGTTAAGGGTGGTGATGATTCCCGCCTTGGCGATCGAGACCGTCTGTTGCTCCATCACCTCATGTAACACCGACCGTGTCGCATCAGACATCTTGTCAAACTCATCAATACAACACACCCCGCCATCACTTAAGACTAGCGCCCCACTCTCTAATACCAATTGTCGTGAATCCGGGTCCCGGGTCACATATGCCGTCAAGCCGACCGCCGAGGAGCCTTTTCCTGAGGTATAAACCCCTCGAGGTGCAATCTTGTGTACGTACTTTTTTTTTGTCCCCCGCCGGCGCCGCCACCAAAAAAAAAAGTTAGTTTATTAATACAAAACAAAAACAGGATGGTAGAGAGATTGGCACACCTGTAAGATTTGACTTTTACTAACACCCGGATCACCAACCAGAAGCACATTGATATCACCACGATAACGAGGGCCACCGGAGCCATTACGACTCGCAGCCGAGCCACCGATGGTCTTATTAGTCCCCCCGAAGAGCTGCAACAAAATCCCCTTTTTGACGTCGTCCATTTCCCAAACACTAGGGGCTAAGGATCGCGAGAGGATCTCATAGATCTCCGGGCGACGAGACAATTCCAACAGTTTCTCTTCTAATTCGGCTCGATTGCTCGGATTGTCGGCCCCCGTTCTGAACAGATTATCTTCCGAAGAAGATACTCCTCCTCCAGACGTTTGTTCTTCTTCGTCGTCTCCGCCCACTCCAACCACACCTTCATTGGTCCTTCCATCGGTCGATCGGGTACTAAGGTCCACTCCCAATCGTCTTGAGTCACTCCGTTTGATATGAAGGACGTCGAGATAAGTTTTGAAGAGGCTTTTGATCACTCGTTGTTTAGGGTTGACGCGCACGGCGACGCTTCTGAAGATCCCGGTGATCTCGACCCGATCACCGGGCTTAGCGGAGTCGACAAGTTCATCGTACACGCACAGACTGACGCTATGAGGGGTCTGACCATCGGGCACCTCGTCTGGTGTTTCCTGTAATCTGATGACTTGTCGGTCGGCGAACTCGCACCGGTTGTGGATCAGACTCATCCCCCCAGGTTGGTTGCAAACCTCACGGGGACACCGTTGCGGCTCGGCGATCTTTCCTCGGTCGATCTCGACGGTGGTCACGTGTCCACAACTCAGACACCTGAAGAAGGCTAGCTTCATGTCCGGGATCACCGGCGTGGCCCGGATCACTAATCCCTTAATCGCCACGATCTTGTCGATATCCCCCGGATTGAGTAGTCGCATGTTCACCCCTCGATGGACCGGCTGGCCCGCGGCTGTCGTGACTGTGCTTTCCGGCGATTGTCCCGCATAGCCAAACGGCCGGATCTTGTAGATTCGTCCTTCCATCTCTGCTATCTCTTCATCCCCCGGTACCGCTTCTGATTCCAAATCCCCTCTCTCTCGATCCTCTTCGGCTAATTCAATCACACAGTCCTTCAGTACTTGATCACATATTGGGATCAGTTCTTGTGGATAATTTAGAATTTGGTTGTATAGATTTTTGGTCGGTGGGAACGCCAATAAATTGATCAAGTCCAAGTTCAAGTTTGTCTGTGACTATGAGCAAGAAAAAAAACATGGATAACCAGGAAGTCAATTATTTATTTACTTCAAGAGATTGATAAATTGATTTTTTTTTTCTATTCAATTTGTCTGGAGGACTTACAGTGAGACGCATCTTGCGCATATAATCGACATAGACTAATTGATCGCCATTAGAAAGCATTGAGGCGTCATCGAGAGAGAGTTTGAGGTCGAAAGCCAGACGATATTTCCTCTTGAAGCCCTGCAAGAACTGACGAAAGGTTTGCATGGAGTCCTGGAGGGAGACGAGGGTGCCCCAGATGACAGTCTGAGTTTCCGGCTCGGCGGGCACGGCCTGGCTGGAGGTGTCATGCTGGGAAGGAAGGTCCGAGCCCGGCACATTCGGCGTTTGGCCTAGCCCGGCACTCGAGGATGGCACTTGCGCATGTAACCTGGGGTGGGCGGATGGAGATGAGAGCGAGGGGACGGTGGAATGAATGTCCCCTCGTCGGTTGGATGGGCGAGATGCACGTGGAGTACCTTCGCCTGAAGAGCTGAATCAGTTCATATAAAATCCAAAGTTATCAGTTTTTTGCACGTTAGTTTCCCATGAGAAAAAAAAACATTGTACTTACGGTGGAAAGAATAATGGTTCACTCGAGGGATTTGGATTTGCACGGCCCGACCGTCTGCCAGTGATGGTCGAGTTAGAGCTAGAAGGAAAACGCAAGGGAGATGACGAGTTGATATCTGATGAAGAAGAAGGGACATAAGAGATCGATCAATGATGTCTCTTCTTCTCTTCCAAGGCTCCGAATCTTGATCTGATCATGGAAATAAGTCTTGAGAGGAAGGTAAGAAGACTGACGACTCTGTGCGGTTCTTCTGATTCCTTGGACGCGTGAGGCTGAGTGAGGTGCAGCATCACTGGTCGGATGTCCTGCCGACGAGCTCGGGAAGACCATCGGGCTGCTGCTCGTCTCGGGTACCGACGAGAGTTGGAGACGCATGCGTTCTTCATTGTTGGAGGGAGTGGACATGATGGAGTTGTTTTGAGTAAATGATATGTTAGGTAGGTTGCAGGTTGTTGTTGGTCGGCTGCAGGTTCACCCGTCAGATGGAACTGCTATGTAGCCGCCAAGTGGAGGAACACAAGCCCGGGATCACATAAGCAAAAACACGCGACAATGACTCAAAAGAAGACGCGTCATGACAACAACATATCGGGAAAATACAGTTCGAGATGAAAGACATCTTGCCTCCGGAATATGACCAACCGGCACTATATGCCACTGGAGATTACAAACAACCGATTCCGGGCAATTGCCAGGATCTAACTGAAGGCGATGAGTGGCTGTTGCGTAGAGCACGATTTGGTGTTACTGAGGATAAAACATTGAGCATCTTGTGCTCTTCTCCAGACTTCTATCCGAGGGCTTCAAATCGATGTATGTACGTGTCCAAGAGTTCGCGAATAAAGAAGTGGATGATTATTATTTATGTATACAAGAGGTTCCGAAAGTATGTATCCAAGAGATCTCGGGTCTACATATATCTACATATTTCCGAATCGATTTAAGATGATAAAGGTATTCTTCCGAAGATAAGCTAAATGTAGTACAATGTGGATAACGATACAAATCTACATGCATCCAAAGCACACAAGGATAGATGACAAACAGATCAAAAGAAAAGAGTTACAATATTAATTGAAGAACGAGGATAAGGGTGGTATTATCGGCCAGATGGAAAGACGAAGGACAAACAGCCAGAAAAGGAGAGGGGTGGACAACAATATTAAGGAAGGAGGATACATCAGGGGGGAGGGTTCTACTCTAGACGATACAACAGTCGTTCGAAGATGACGTTGATGAAGGAGGGGCTTTCGGGTTGGGTCCGGAAGAGGCTTTGAGGGTCTGTTTCTGCCGCTTTTCTTCATTCAACCTGTGGATCTCTTGTTTGTCTTTCTCAGTCAACAATCTGTTTAAATATATATATATATGTATATCCCATCCATCGACCATCAAGAAAAAAAAAACAAAGAACCAACAATCAATTTTGGTTCTTTTTTGTTGCTGTATATGTTTAAAGAGAGGAAAGATACGGACTGGTTCTTGATCCGAAACTCGAGCGCTTTCTGTTGGGATTGGAGTTCAGCCTTCGAGCGTTGACTAGATTTAATCTTGGAGAGATGTTGTTTGAGTGAGAAAGGATTGTTAGGATCGGTTGACGAATGATGAGGATCGAGGGACGAGGTTTTTGAAGCAGACGATGAAGTGGACGGAGGATGATGGTGGGGGTTAGACGATTTGAGGGATTGGGAGTCGACTGGATTGCTCAAATAATTCTTGAGGAGATCCGCGTAATTCGAATTCTTTCCAGGATTCTTCGTCCCATTGCCCGATGATGAAGAAGAAGAAGAAGTGAAGGATTGACATAAATGGTCCTGTTCGAGACGATGACTGGGACAGTATGTGAGCTGACAATGGGGACAACTGATGGGTGCTAACATCAGCGTCTTGCATTTGATGTATGAACATTTCTTCGTCTGGTTTGCTCCCAGTGAGTTGGGTATCCTAGTCGGCTTGGGTAAATTTTCTTTCTCCTTCGTCTATGTTTGCAAACGAATTAAAATTCAAAAAATCAGCCTCCGTTATCTTGACTCTGGATCTCTCTTCTCCCCAACTCCCTCGAACAATTTAAGCTTACTTTCAAGACCAGTGGTTCACAGAGATGGTCCAAATCTGAGCTGACGAGCGAAGGTTTATAATGGCTTGAGCAAAACGTTTTATGGCATTCTGGACACCTACAAATTCCAACGAGAAGAGAATCATATAATGAGTCAGGTATCATTAAACAACAGATTAGAACATATTTCTAAAATAATGAAGAACAGACAGACATACTTTAGCGGTAAAAAGTCGAGCAAGTTACAGCTTGGCAGTGAGCAATGAGCCCCCCATTCTTCGAGCTGATGCTGTTTGTTCGATGTGGCTGGAGATTCGACGGTGGGGGTGGTGTTCATGGTATTCAAGGTGGTGGTGGTATGTTGTAACAATTGGTAGGAAGTTGGCAAACTGGAAATGCCAAGCCACTGAAATGTCTTGGTGTTGATTTGCTGATTACGTCAGCTAAACCACGACGGATTGGACCGCGCACAGCCAACGATGAGAGAAAACCTTAATAACAACACCGCCTCAACAGCTAGTTGTGTGTGTTATCAAGCTAAATGGATCAACCAAGAATCAGGGCAACAAGAGGAAAACAAATGCTCTGTTCAAAAATAATGCATTCCACTGTTCAAATTAAACCAAGAGCAGAGACAATCAAAACAATTATACCTAGCATATTGGCAGAAAAAACCAATTAATGCCACATCTAAACAAAATCAAATAACATCTGGGGTAGGAATTTCCTTGTATGTTGAAAACCTAGAAAGCAAGAAAGAAAGGCTCACAAACCAAGCATTATTCATCTCTACTGATCTCACTGAAGTAATATAAGTTGTGGCTTCTATTATCTCTTTGAGCATGCCCCTTGAGATACACTTACAGGGAGTTGGTCATACTTTTTCTCTTACCTTTTGAACTAGTGTGTGCTTCCTCTTCTGAGGGAGTGTGATGTGAGTTGAGCAACCCCAGTGAGGAGGAGGACTGAGAAGACCATGACTTTGCTGCACCTTTCCTGCACTACAAAAACTACAGCTCAAAATTATTGCATGTCAACCTTGTAAATTTTCATTCACATAATCTGGGAGCTTGGCTGGCACCTATCAATTTGAGGCTAAAGTATTTCAACAGTGTTTGGTGCCAGATCTTGCAGGTACATATTTTCATACTAACAAGTCTGGAAGTTTGAACTCAGGCTGGCAATGGGCTTGGGCGCCCCAAGACCCGAGGGGTTGTGGGGCGGGTTTGGGCAGGAAAAAAGTGGAATTTTCCCAATTGTGACCCGGCCCAGGAATACCCATCAAACTGGTGGGCCGGGTTTGGACAGTGATTCTTCTCCATGGGCTGGCCCACCGGCCCACATTTACCTGGGTGACCCAAAGGCCTGGTAGATATCACCAGAGTAAACCTAAGAGCCGGTACATTTCTACTGGCCAGGTCACTGTCAACTGTCCTTCCCACAGTTTCAGTGATCAGACGTAATAGTAGACATTGCATCAGTATGCTCCTAAAATCAAAAACATGCTAGTACCTAGAGGCTCTTGTCTGCGGTCAGACTGGATTCGATCAAGAAAGAGGTTCTGCATCATGCTGATGAGGTTAGCAATGAAGTATCCATTACTTCTTGAATCAATTTTACTCTCTCTTTCTTTCATTTCTCAATAAGTGATCCTGGCTCTATTATTACATAACCGATACTCAATAGTGCTGTTTTTCCTTTCCATGATACATGATTTATTAGATCTTGAATACACAATGACTAGATCTACATAGTACTACAAAAATGATATGAGATGAGAAAAAAATATGCATGAATTTTGAACAACCCCAAGCAGATAGTTGAGGTCTGACTCCTGTCAACCCAATTTTTTGGGGAGGCCCGAGACCTACCCCAAGCCCGCCCTGAGCCCACCTCCCAAAAAGACAGGGAGGGTTTGGGCAGACTTTTTGAAAATACGGCCGCCCCACCCCACCCCACGTTCCAAGGCGGGGCGGGTTTGGGCATAGTTTTTGGGCCCAAGCCCAGCCCATTGCCAGCCTGAGTTTGAACACTCAGATGTTTTTTTTTCCCATTAATTTGATTGTATTCAGTAAACTTTTATGCAAAATTGTTTTTCACCTGCTGCGCCAGTTTTTCCAGAAACTTTACGAGTGATTTTCTTATGATTTTTTTCAAATGATGCCTAGCTTGTTCTGAGGTGAAATATCAGATTTGAAACCACAACATAAAACAAGACTGTGGGTTTTTTGTATTGATCAGTGAAGGACTTTTCATAGCTAAATTCCCAGCAAAAGAAAACAAGACGTTTTGTATTCAAATCAACATATACAAGGGTTCCAACTTTGACAGGAAGTCCTCCAAAAATTGCTGACAGCTGTTTTAAGTTTGACTCAATCTTTGAGAGCTACAGATGTAAACTTATCAGTCCAAACCAAATTAAAATAAATGCCTTCTTTGTCTTTCAACAGCAAGAAAAAAAACCAATGCTGCAGTACTAGCTGACTAATGATAAATGCTCTACTGTAGCTTAAGTTCTACTGAAGCCCAACTACAATGGTCCCTTCAAAGGGAGGGGGGAGGTATGAGACAGAAATCAAACTGGATACATAATGGGTAGACTAGCATGCTGACCATAGTCTAATGCCACCTGTCATCCCATATTCATTGTTCTTTTTCCAGCCTTGATGTGAAGATTGAAATCTGCAGATGCACTCAGTCTGTTGAAATATCAATGTAGGTGGAGGCTTGAATTGTGATTGAATGGGCATCCATTATTGAGTGCTACTTTCCTAGCACTGTTTTCTGGGAGAAGTTGTTGTTTTTTTTTTTTTTTTGGGGAGACCTTGATCTGGAGTTTTCATCACTGGAGGACTCCTTTTCACCTAAATTGGGGGGGGGGGGGGTCCTAAGCTCTATTGGCTGGTGAACACTCAATCTCATTAAGTTTTCGGCACCAAATAACGTTGAGGATGTCCTTCTAAATCAACAGATTTGGACAACATGAAGGCCTTCACTATTGGACAACTTCCCGTCAAGATCTGCAGTTCTCCCAGAAGCAATTTAGAGCCTCAAACAATAGATTTCCCAGCAAAAGTCTAGACTTTTTTCTTGGGTCTAAATCATCATCTGCAAGGGTCCCAGAATTGACAAGAAGTACTCCATACAATCAGATTTGAATTCTTCATTTTCCTTATCTTTCCAAGAAGTCCAATTGCAATGTATTTTTTTTATTCTATAGGTCTTCTTGCAGGGAATTAGTTTGAATTGGACGCTAATTGAGCTCACCTCCTGCTCCAACAATGGATATCTGATGGTCTTGATTTCATGTGAGCATCGATTCCTAATTATTAGCTTGAGCTTGTTTTAATTAATAGCATCAATCTTCCCAGTCATGTGCATATTTAAATCCAACATATGTATTTGTCCCACAACATCGAAATCAAGGTGACAAAGCATTCTCAAAAGAAAGAAGTATATATATGTATACAAGGACTAAGTGTGATTGTGAGGAAGGGATTTTTTGGGAGGTTGAGAGGACGAGACGAGCGGGCCGAAGTAGACGGTGAGTGCCTTGCATTTCTGGTTCATCCAATTCTCCTCGACCTCGATCACAAACTTCTGCCGGTCAGTCTTTGAGGGGGGAGAGACTCTGGAATGGGCAGGGAAGAGAGCGGCCAGTTTGGAGAGGTCGTGGAGGTCGGTGTGGCGCGGGAGATAGTAGATGATCCGCTCGGTGATTTGCCGGGCACGTTTGAATAGCTCGTGGCCATCGATCGGCGCTAGCTCCTTCAACTTGTAATAATGCTGCCGTCGCTTGTCCGGTTTCTTTTTGTTCCCTTTCTTTTGGATTGTCCCATCTTCTTCTTCTTCTGCTGCTGCTTCCGGAGAGTTCAGATAGTTAATCCCACCCCACCTGGTGATCACAAAAAGAAATGAAGAGACGAGAAAAGAAATGTGGTTAGTTTTTTCAGAGTAGCAACAACAAAGGGGTGGAAGGGAGAGAGGGAAAGAAGACCGACGGAGGGGACAAGAAGATGACGTCGATTGACGCCGTCTGGGCCGTTGTGAGTCCGGCCATCCAGGCCAGAAAGTCGGCACAAACGAACTCGATCTTCTCGGCGACCCCGTAGATCTTTGCATTGGACCGGGCCAGCTTGATCTTGTTCGGGTCTTTATCGATCGCGATCACTGCATGATGTGATGATGTGAAGGTCATCGAGAATGAGTGCGAGGTTGCGTTTTTCGGAGGATGGATGGACTGACCTTTGTCGCAAGTCATGGCGAACTGGATCGAGTTTCCGCCGGCTCCACAGAACCCGTCGACGACGAGTTTACACCTGTTGAACGATCCCATCAAATAGCAACAGAGACAATCGATAAGCAGGTATTTCGCAAGTGATGGTAGAGGGGGGAAAAGACCGACTTGGCCCGTGTGGCGATCTGCTTGGCAATCGCTTCAGGAGTCACGCTGTACCAGGACTCGAGGTCCATCTTGATGCCCTCGTCGAACTTCCAAAAGAGCCTCTTGCGTTGGGCCCAATCTGCGAACACGGTCCAGTCAGATCAGTTCAGTCCTAGCCGCTGATGTGTATCCATTGAAAAGATGAGGTGTTTCTACATTTCTCCATCGAAGGGGGCAAGTTTTCTTGAGTCAGATAGTCCATCGTCTCTGGCTCCTGATGGCCATCCTGTTCGGGCTCCAATCGGATCCGTTTGGGTGGCGGGATGTCGTCTGGTGAGCGGTGTTCGTGTGGGTGTGCAGGGCTCTGTTGGGCACATGGTATCAGGTTCTCGTCGTTCGCCTTGTCTGCGCTTTTGTTCTCTGGTGGTGGGTTGCTGTGGTTTGGTTGATGGTCGGCCTGGGTTGGATTGGCTGCAGCCAGTGCCATCGCCTTTCGAACCGCATAGGTCAATATCCTCATCTTTTTTTTTGTCTTCTTCTTCTTTCCTCCTCCGCTCGTCGATGTTGCTTGTTTATTTGGTTTGCTGATTATTTGGTTTCAAGAAGAAAATAAGAAAATAAGAGAAAAAAAAAAAGAAGCAGAAGATGACCATCCCAGTCGATGAACGACTCGACGCCATACTCAACCAGGCCATCTCACACTACCACTCCACCATCCACGACAGCCTCAAACTGAACCTCAGTCTGCTCCCACAACCCGACCCAACCACTATCCTGGACCCTAGTCGACCCTTATTCTACCAATCACACTCAACAACCGAACAACAACAACAACAACAACAACAGGACTCTCGACCATGCAATACACTCCAGCCGGATACTCAACAGTCTTCGAATACTTCCGGAGACCCCAAACCAGCGTCTCAAGAGACCCGGCCTTCTTCTTGATCGGACCCCGAGCCCCGACCATCCGGCTCGACAGTCCAAGCCGGTCATCCGCCGGAACCTCCCGTACTGGAGGAGCGACGACAGAACAGGAGAAGGACTGTTTGGGCTGCAGACTCATCGGCGCCTCAGCAGCCATCCTCGCCGGCTCATACATCCTCGCACACGAAATCCAACGCCGCAGACATGCACTCATTCTGTCCAAGCCACTCATCCCAGCCCGGCCTATCGGCGCACGCTGTATGCAGCTCATCGGTTGGAGTTCAGTAACTGTTCCCCTCTCTTCCAAACCTCTCCCGCAAATCATATTTCATCTTTTTTTTTCTCGAACAGTTGGTCTCGGTACTGATTTATCCGCTTCTTTCAATCCACCCCCCCGCCCCCCCGTTGTCTCGTTGGATAGGCTTCATCGGACTCGGCGTCGCTAGAGCTATCTCTTAACCCCCCCCCCATTCAAATTTGTTATATAAAACTTTAAACTTTATTTAACCCGATAGTTTTTCAACCCGCTGATTTATACCTTCCCAAAAGATTCAGAAATACACATGTCAAAAGAGAAATGTTAATGTCGAATTAGTTTGGATTGAAGCTTATGCAAAAAAATGGTGGGACATCCAATGTTTGTGGCCCAATGTTTTTATTTGCCTTCCAGGTGATCAACTCACAAGCTTGAAGCAATACTGGCCCCCTATGCTATTATGCCATTTGGCCAAAAAGTGTGCGAGAATAGCAGCCCTGATCAATGCCTGTTGTCATTATAGCATTATTGAGCTTTTGGGACTGCTACAAAATTGGTGTAACACAGTGCAGTGGCTTGATTTTTTTTCCCAGCTGCAACCATTAGTATTAGAGTAAAGTTGCTAGCATTTGATAACAGGGTTAATGATTAGGCTTGACCAGCATACCCTCAAGTAACCCATAGAAGCACTAAAAGTTCTTACAAAGAATACTTCTACAGCTCCCATCAAGAGGGGGTAAGGAATTACTTCATGGAGCTCCATGGTTGGTTTCCTGGATCAAGCAAACATTTTGGCAACCTGCAGTGCTTGCTGAAGTGGTTTGTCTTGATATTGATGCTGTTAATTTCTAAGCTAGCATTTAGCACTTCAGTGCAAGTTACAAGCAAAGTGAGCATGCATAAATCCAATTGTGGACCATGCTATTAGAAGGGTCCCAAGGTAGGATTAAAACTGACACTGCAGTTGGTATAGCTGGCCCAGTGATGCGTGTAGTAAAGAAGCTTCTGATGCAGTGGTGCAAGAGAAGTCTCCAAGAACAAATGTGGATATTCAGGATTGAGTTTCATGAAATCATAAAGCATGTGATCATGAGACCACAATAGCAGGGCTCATGATTGAACTTTTTAGAGCAAATTTTAAGGCCTTTATCAACAACATTTTTTTGGAAATTTATTAGTTGGGCAGATTTGGGGGTTTCTGATCAATCCATACAACACTTTAGTTTTTGAAAAAAAGGGTTGATAAACATGGCTTGAAAATTTGATAAGATATCAATCATGAACCCTGCTACAGCTTTGAGGTGATCATTTTCTATCAATATCTTTGGGAGTTTCTTGGTCTTTTGAATGGTTGGCTGGTACATAGTACATGGAGGTCATGGTTTGAGGAATTTGTATTTTTTGAATTCCCCCTATTCTCAGGAATCTGTTAACAAGACATTGAAACTAAATATGAACCAAGAAATTTGAGAGTCATGAAAAGATGGAATGAGGAATGAAAGTGAAAGGGTTATAGGCATTCACTGCAATGTTTCTAGCGGTGCAGAAAGAAGGATGCACAATTACAAATGTGTGATTTCATCAGTATCTAAACAGCTAGTTTGAAGTCAAGTAACTACAAAGAATACCAAATCGTTATTCAGAAAGAAATGAACAATGAATACTGCATAAAAACCAGAAAAAATCAAAGTCTGTATACATAGGAATTTTGTAAAAGGAAGACTCCCCACATGGGCTGCTTGTGGGCCGGCCCGCTGGGGCCCACCATGGTAGCAGGCAGGCCTGGCCTGGACCCATTTGTCAAATGGGCTGGGAAGCCCGTGGGCAGCCCATATGGGCCTGCAGCATGGTTGACTCTTGGTTTGCCAAATTGGTGATTGTTGCTGTGGGAACCCTGATTGGGGGAGGCCCATCAGGCACCTGATGGGCAGCCTGGCTTGGGCCAAACCCGGCCCAAACCCAAATGGGCTTGGGCAGCCCATCGGACACCCGGCCCAATTACCATCCTTAGCAATGAGCAAGAAAAGAACAGAATTCCAGCACCTGAATATGGAAGGAAACCGTGTTGGTGGTAATGTATTTGTGGAAAGATTATGCAGGATTAGGGAGCATAGACAAGTGCTGGACTTCCTCTTGATTATACAGCCCCCCTTGAAGCTGTTTCCCCCCTAAAAAATGCAGCTTTAAAACAACAGCCTACAAATCTACATATCCTTTAACAGAGCCTGTAAAACCAACAGCAAGTCCTCCACTATTTACGTAAAGATAAAAAGAAAAGATACATGTCTCAAGCTGCTTCACTTGATCAGCGATGGATTGTATGTCTTTTGGACCACAGAAGTCCTCATCGAAAGCTGGAAATAGCTCTGACAGGAATTAATGGCACATAGGGCATATAACTTAAGTCCCTGCACCCAATTGACCCAATGTAACCAGCGTCTCAACACTCCATAGGTGAGCCAGAGAGGGGCTTTGTGATAGCTTGGGACAACCACCCATTTCCATGCCTTCTCTCCTCATGAGTCATCCTACAAATCCAACATTTCTGGTTTTTTTTTCTGGACCAACATGTGCAACAAATTATGTAAAGATATGTATATTTCTCAGTACCCTTGTTGGGATCACTCTTCACTGGACCTATGCAGGTGTATTCCCCAGTCCCATAAAAAGCCTCACACCGTCAAGATCTGTGGCCAAGACCCACTAGATCGACTTTTGCTTGATCACAATCCGAGGTGTCCCTTACTGTGGAGTGAGAGTTCAGTTTTCCTGGTGATTGGATGGGTGCATAACTGAGGTCCAGCGTTTATGTGTCTACATGTTGCTCGACATTTGATGGGCATAAATAGTTTCGGGAACTCGATTGGGTGGCGGTTTAGATTGGGAGTTCATCATATATAAGGACGTTTCTATACACACACACAGAATTAGAGTGCGAATTGATTGAATAAAAATCAGCTCTTAACACCGCGCGATTTTCTCGCCCTTAGTGACAACTAAATGCATACAATCCCAAATACACCACAGATCCGCCACAGACACATGGGGTCGATCCACAAAAGACAAAGATGATCAGAAGACCGGTGCTTTTCAAGGAAAAGAAAAAGCATGATGGGAGGAGAGAAAGAAAGGGGACTGACAGTCGGCTTCGATGACTGTTCCGCTCTCGACCTCGCAGTCTTTAAGCTCGACGCGATCGCCGATGATCACGCCATTAGTGAGGATACAATTCTCGATCTTAACGCTGCCAAAAGGAAAAGGGGAGAGGGCAAGAAGAGTGAGTTAAATGGAGGGAGAATGGTAGGTAACGATTCAGAGGAAGGGCTCAACTGTTCGCCGATCGAGACGCGCTCCATGAGCACCGAGTTCACCACTTTCGACGCCTTCCCAATCGTGCATCCCCGTCCAACAATACTCTTCTTGACACTCGACTTGTCTAATAGACTCACATTTGGTCCCACTAATGAGTCCGCTCCCGCCGTGCCTACCCCAGGCGTTGGTGGACCTGTAGGTCGATTGCCTGCGGCCTGCTGGCGCTCGTGTTCTAGCTTCAATGCCTATGATCACACAGATGGGTTTGAAAAACCTCTTGATAGGTTAGATCAAACAGGCTTGTTTTGGAACCAGAAAGAAGAATGATTGTTTATTTGAGACTGATAGACACACAGTTCGGTTGATCTCAGCATACCCGGGGACCGAGTTAGCACGACAAACGAAGCCGTCCTTAGCGGGCCAAATGACGTATTCGCAACGGAAGGCGGCGCCAGAGAGCGCGGGGGGAATCTTATTGAAGGCCGACTTGAGCGAGCCTTGAGAGAGGGGTTGTGTGGCAAACTGGTCTGCGCGAGCGTCAAGAGACAGACAGCTGAAAGTGCGCGAGATCGGCGGAGTCGAGGCCGCCGTTAAGGGCGTCCGTTGCCCCTTCATCGTCACATCGCCTCGATTGCTTTGCGGGGTCGGGTTCGTGCTCGATCTCATAAACGCTTCGGTTAGTGGATCCGATGGTAAATCGAGCTTGGTCGAGGCTAACCAGAGAGAAAAATAAAAGAAATCAGTCAATATGCTTTGTGGAGATGAGTAGATGTGGCGGGATAGGGGGGGGGGGAAGTACCGACGGCGGTCTTTTTGAGCAGACCAGGCTGCCATTGGTTCTTAGCCAGCCAGGGCACGAACTGGTGTTTGAAGCTAGCCAGCTGGGGCAAGCCGAGGAGAAGGTCGATGACCGCGGGGGAGCAGACGAAGACATGGGCGGGGACGAGTGCGCTACTCAGGATGCAGGTTGGAAACCGGTCGATCATCTTCATCCGGATCTCCATCTCGGACCCGAAGCCGTCGAGCTCCTGCAGATTCAGCAACACGCCCGAGCGAGGATCGAGGGTGACCAGATTGAGCGATGGACCTTGATGGAGAAGAGGAGCACCGGAGATCATCAGCCTCTGGATTGTAGCCCGGACGAACGGGGGGAGGACTTGCCGTCTCTGAGATCGAGCGTGTTCGCCTGCCGCTCATAGAAAACCGTCGTGATCAGGTTCTGGTTCGTCCGATGTCGTTCGACGATCGCTAGTAATGTGCGTTCATAGATCGGATCCACTTGGGAGCAATTCAGAATGGATCGGTCGGAGGTAGACCGGCTGGATTGGAAGTAAAGATCGCATGGTAATAGGACAAAGGCTGTCTGAACGAAACCGAGCCCCACCGCCGCAACCAAAGAAGAAGAAGAAGAAGAAGAAAGAGACAAATTGAGATATCTATCGCAGGATCTGGTCTACGGGAAGAGACGGAGAAACGCTAACCTTAATGAGGTTCCGATTGATTGCCCAACGTAAACTTCCGGAGGTTCCATGGCTGATGAAATCGATGTCAGGTATGCATTCAAGTTTGATTGTAAGGTTTTGGGTGGTAGTACTTGAGGAGCTCTTGCGGGTTTTGGTGATCGAACTTAGGCAAGACCTCTGAGATTCGGAAGCGAGGATCAGGACCTCTAGGGAAGTGGAAAGAGAGGTGTTAGCAAATTGAGGGAGACCAACAGGAAAACCAAGGGGGGTGCGTACCGGTTAATCCGCTCTCCTCGATCCAATCGAGAGTGAATTCGATGATAGGACGGTTGAGCAGAGGCAGTCCAGCCTTGGCGATCTGCGGGGTGGGCTGATGGTCGGGTTCGTCGAGCTCGGCGGACTGGTTGTTGATCAACGGGAAGAGTCCTTCGCCCGGTCCGGCAAGGATCACCGCCAGATAACTCGTCGCATTCGTCTGCAGTCCGCCCGGCATGGATGGGCTCGGCGGCACTTGGAAGGAGGCCACCGAGGAACTCGGGTATAGCCCTGGTCGTTGTCGCCCCGCTTGTTGCTCGCTGTTGAACATCGGTCTTCGTTTCCCTTATGTTTGCAGTTCGGTGGGCGTGAAGTCGTCAAGGGGTTTGGGCGGACCGAGAGTGTTCCAACTGACAAAACATCAGATGAGTCTCCGAATCAAGTGCATACAAACACACCTTTTATTCAACTCTTGTATCACAAACATGACAGTCCACAAACATGACAGTCATCATTCCCATCATCAAGAAATCAAAATCATGGACGGCTCCTCATCGGGATCTACAACCCTTGCAGAATCTAATTATTTAGGCCCCTCAGATCTTCATTTTTGGTCAAAAAAAAATCTTTGTTCACAAGCCTTGTAGTAAAGGCCCTCCTGTGAGCTAGTCTTGGTCTCCATTCAGAAATGAGGGGGTCTACAAAACACCCTAAGTTGCGACAGGAAGTCCTCCAATGGACTCAGATCTGGGGGCCTCTTGGTTTTTGATTTAGACAAGTCTAGATAGAACTTTGTAGGGAAATCTAGCTTTCAAGGCTCTAAATCAAAACTGGGGGACCCACAGATTCTGACAAGAAGTCCTCCAATCTTTTTCTAAAGATTAAGAATTGGAATGCATTCAAATTTGAACGTAAAGTCCTCTACAGCTGTTTTGCCCATATTCATGTGGGCTAACTACTTTTTTTACTGACAGGAACCAGTCTTGATATATCTCAAGTGAAAATAAAAATGAATGAATTGGGTTTCACTCATTAAATTCATAAACCCAAGATGCTTATGATTGATTTTAATTCACAACTAAATTCCTCCCAAGGAAAATTAAAAGACCAATATAAGGTAGCATTAGCATATGTTTTCCTAGATTTTATTGAACAAAGTTTCCAAATTTTTTTTACCAATATTTCTCAGCAAAAGAATCTACCATATACAGAATCACCCTGGCATCTTCTAGCCTACATTTTATTGAAGAACTTGAGAAAATTACTTCTTATTCCGCATAATTCAATTCTATTGTTAACATATCTAGTCATGGTGAAAGAAAGAACAAGGAAGAAAAATCAAAAATGAATTTCAAGTTGGTCAGAAATTACCTGGAAGAACTACCTGATCAATATGATGCACATGTTTCAGAGCTAATTTATGAAGGCAAGATTCTCACTTGTTCAGATTTGATTCCAGAGCTTCAAAGCACAAACTTGAAGTCACAGTGATTGGTGAAGTGGTGCAGAATAGGTCCCAAAGAATGAATATGAAAAAATAAAAACAAAAAACAAAGTTTCAAAAATCTGTGAAAAATAAAAAATGAAAGTTATTTTTTTCAAAAAACTTTGATATTCATTTTGGGGGAGTGGAAGCACTGGAAGAAAGAAAGAATGGAAAATGGGAAGAATGATTATAAATGAAAATTCTAAAAAAAATGGTTACCAGTTGGTTTTAAACAGCTGTTGAGTAGGGCATTCACCAGCTCACATTGCAGTAAAACACTAGAATTTACTGTTTTGGCTCCAATCTGGACAGCCAACCTGGCTCACCCTTTTTTTGGTTCCAATTTTTTCATTTATAATCATTCTTGTCATTTTCCACTCTTTCTTTCTCTCAGCACTTCCCCTCCCCCAAAATCAATAACAAAGCTTTTGGAAAAAAACATTTTTATTTTTTATTTTTCACAAATTTTGAAACTTTTTGTTTTGTTTTTATTTTTTCATATTCATTCTTTGTGACCTATTCTGCACCAATTCACCAAGTCTTGTGACTTGAAGTTTGTGCTTTGAAGCTTTAGAACCCAAAACAAGCAGCCAAAAATAACGATCCACCCACTGTACAAAGATATTACTTCCATTTGTTGAGACGGTGCAGTTGCTTGACAACTGGAGGCAATCCCCTCGGGTCATCAAGACCATACAGTATCAATGACTGAAAGGAATCTCTTCTGGCTATCAAGATTGTACAATCTTGACAAATGGTGTGAGAACTCTTTTGAGGATTGTGACAGTCCTATGAGGGAGAAATAGCAGCAACACTGAAACTGAGACAAGATAAGACAGTATCAGGTGATTATTTGTATTGTCTCAGAATTTGAATACCCAAAAATACCAATCCTTGTGTTGTCTCACTTTCCTGAGATGTGTATTGTCTTGGAGGGCTGATCCCACTAAAAATGTCTTTAATACACAAGATATCTGGCTGTATCAATGAAAAAAGACATTTTTTGCATGGGTAAAGACAAATACAACAGAGTGGATTTTCTCACCAACCAAGGAAATACTCATACCAGGTATCAGTCTCAAAACAGAGACAATACACACAAATACCAAATACATGTCTTGTGTCATTTTCAGTGCTGATAGCACTAGCAACTATAATATTTTCAGTATATATGAAGCTATCACGAATGTTACGGGTTGCTTGGAAGACCTGCCCCTCTCTTGTACTACACAAAAATTCTGACAACAAAAGTTTATATTTTGATGTGTCAAAAACCTTAATAGAGAAACCTTTATGTAGTAGTCTCTGCCAGACCTATATCAACTGATATGGATGTCATGCAATAACAAAAGCTACTGGAGGACTTCCCATTGGATCCATGACCCTTGAAAAAGTGGATCTAGACCCAAAAAACTCTTGATTCTTGCAGAGAAATTTGAATCTTGAGGCTCAAAAATGGCTCTGGGAGACCCACAGATGTTGATAGGAAGTTGTCCACTTTTGAGATCACAGGTGTTGGTGAAGTGATGATGAACACCAGCTGAACAGGCTGTGTGATGATGGGGGGGGGGTCAAACTCAGGGGGTGGATGGGCCCTCTTATATAGTAACTTGTGAGGGATTTTAGCTGGTGGGTAAGTCTTGTGGGGGGATTTCTGCTGGTGAGACTTCCCATGTGAGGTATTTCTGCTGCAAGGAAACTTTCATTGAGGGATTTCTGCTTCACAGGAACTTCTATTGAGTGATTTCTGCTAGTGGTTAATGCAACTGATGATTTTGTGTGACCAAACATTTCAGAAACCTTGGGACACTAAACCCAAATGAGATATGGTTATGTACTTGTATCTAAAGCTATACTATACACTAGCAATATACTACTATACTATGTACTAATGTTCAATTCAGGGTGTAAATGGGTCAGGGTGACCCAAAGCCAACCCAAGACCCAGAAGGTCATGGGTTGGGTTCGGGCAGAATTTGTGAGAAGATCACATGACCCAAACCCAACCCGGAAACTTAGCGGGTTGGGTTTGGGCAAGTGTTTTGATAGTTGGGCAGGTAATTTTTTATCATATCTATTTTACAAAGGCTATAACACTTGGTTCAGCCCAAACCCAACAGGCATAATAATGACCTGAACCCAAGAAGTCCCAAGACAGGTTTGGGTCTGGGCAGCATGTACATATTCAAGTTTGACCCAACCCAACCCAACCCAACATAGGTGTCAGGTCAGGTTTGGGCACTGTTTTTGGGCCTGAACCCTACCCATTTGCATCCTGATGTTCAACAACACAAATCCGGTATTTTTGGGTATTCAAATTCTGAGATCATACAAATAAACACCTGATACTGTCTCATTTTGTCTCTGTTGCACCGTTGCTCAGAAACGCATAAAATAAGCTTTTCAAACATTTTTTGTGACTCACATCATCAGCATGCAACTGATCAAGTCAAGGAACTCAGAATCTTTTCTTTGGGTCCTGTAAAACACCTCAGCAACACGTAGGTGTTGCTTGGTTGAGTTGCTGTGTCCAGAGGGTGACCAGCAATTCCTCAATTTTATGTTAAATCAAAGTGACCAGAAAGAATTTCAAGCAGGGTCATAAGCAAAAAAAAAATCAAATCTGAACCCTAAAAGTGAGTGATTGGAGGACTTCCCGTCAACATCTGCAGGTCTCCCAGAGCCGGTTTAGACCCTCAAAATTCAAATTCCTCTGCAAGAATCAAGAATTTTTGGGTCTAGATTGACTTCTGGGAGGGTCCCAGATCCGACGGGAAGTCCTCCAGTCATCCATTATAGGTTCAATTGGTTGTAGAATTTAAATATTGTCTTTCCCAAAAATCTTGGACACTTCAGTCTGCAGGTATGCATTTAACATACATGACTGGCCAGGTTTTGTCCTGGCCAGACGTTTCTGCATTTTGACAGCTTGGGGCTATCCCACACTGTGTCTCCCATACTGTTTCAAGTTCTCACGTGATCGGAGGAACATTTGATTTCTTTTGATCCTTCAATCCCCCATCCCCTCTCGACTCCTCCCCCCTTTTCCGCCCAGTCTCCTTCCCCCCACCCTCAACATTGTCTGGCTTGCCCCATTCCCCTCAAACATTTCAATCCAGTATGGTTTTCCGCCACTACGATGCCTCCATCAAGATTGCCACCGTCCAAATGTCCCTTCAAAACCATACTCAGAGCTTCATCCGACACTCACTTGGTGTAACCGTTTCACGTCAGTCATTTGATTGATGGATCAGTCTTTTCAGAGAAACCCAACGTGTAATCCGAGATCCTCAAGAATACGCTACTCGTGGTCGAAACAGCTTGTTGTCGGCCAAGGATCGTGAATTTATGCTTGAGCTTGTTCGAAACGAGCCCGGGCTCTTTCTTGATGAGATGCGTGAACACCTCTTTGACAGCAGTGGAAGTCTTGTTGGGTTGAGTACCTTAGCCACCAACCTTGTCAAAAAGCTCAGTATCACCTTAAAGAAACCTGATACTGTCAACATCCGCAAGAATCTTGCGGCTAAATACAATTATATTGCGAGGATGGCCAATGTCCCAGCCGAATTCCTAGTCTTTACTGGTAAGCCAAGTTGTTTTCTGATTTTATCATGATGGAAATGTTTTTAATGTTACTGACTGTTTCTTTCAAACAGACGAGTCCGGGATATGCTCCCGAGACTTGTTGCAATCATTTGCAAGGTCTGAACGCGGGACTGCGGCTTCTCGCTAGTGCTACCAATTGGATAACAACCCACCTTGATTCAGCTTGATACCGGCTATTAGCTACTACGGCGTTCTAATGATGACCGTCACCGATACCGTGGTGAAAGCGCATGACTTTGAACACTTTTTGAAGTGGAAAGTGGTGTGCCCCTGTCTTTGATCATCTTCATCTCAATAACAACAAGCTGATGTCAACTTTGCCAACTTTTTATCAGCTTCCTCACATGAATCCCTACCCTGCAGTGAACTCCATCTTAGTCATGGATAATGCTGCAATTCATTGCAGACCAAGAGTTGCTAGGCTCTGTGAAGAAGCCGGAATCAAGCTCGTTTATCTGCCACCATACTGCCCCGAACTCAACCCAATCGAAGTGTGTTTCTCTCAAGTTAAAAGCAACCTACGTCGAACTCAATCATTGTTCAATGCGCGCGACCCAACTTGGGTCATCCGCAATACTACCCATGAGGTGGTATCAGCTTCTTTGTGCCAGGAGCTCTATTGCCACGCCGGTTACAACTGCCCTCTTTTAGAACTTGTAGAAATTTGAGTCATCTCCAATCCACTGCTGATAGTCTAAAACTTCCGAAGCTTGTTTGTCTTGTCTCTCGAGCTCATTTTTCCTGATTATTTACAATACACGTGTCTGCCGAATTTTCTTCTTATCACATTCAAGCACCTCAAAATAAGTCCTCTTGTCGGATTCTCTCTGTGCTTGTATATCTTATGCTTGAGTTATGTTATCCTGATATCTATGTCCTGTTGAGTTGTATTGGGGCCACTTGCTGAAATATAAATCTGGCTTGTGCAACGAGAAGTCTTAGTGATAGCGACTTACATATGAACCCTAAGCTGGTCATTGACCTCCTTGATCATACACTGTGAGCTATCTGTCCTGACCGATCATCAAATCATTTGTTGAAAATGATCGCTCCAACTGATTGGTCTCAGCCGAGATTGATGCCAACCTGATCCATCTCGATTCTCATGTTGGCCTTAAACTGTTGCAATCATTCAGTGGTTCATCTATCCTGATTGATCAGAAAATCAACTACAGTCCCATTTCTTATTGCATCAATCAAGGAAAAGATTTGAGATCAATCTGATGATCTTAACTTTGGTTAGATATCATTTTGGGGTCACTCTGGATGGATTGACTCGGCTGTACTCGGTTCACTCTCTTTTAAATTCTGCTGGGGATGGTTGGGCCCTTTATTGGGGACAGACTTCTTTGATTGATCACAGAAACAGCAAGGCTATCATATAATTTCTCTGATGGAAATTGAGTGGGGATTTGCAGACACACAGACACAAGAAGATCACTGTATAGACATAAGGAGATAGCAGAAACAGTCAGATTGAGGAAACAGTCAGATCAAGAGCAGTCTTTGTTCGGATTTTCAGTGCAAACAAGTTAGAGGACAGGAATGGCAGACAGCAGACACACAAACACTTTTTAGTAGGGCAGGCAGGGGCATTTTAGATAGCAATGAGACATCAGACATTTATGAAGAAGAGTGATTTACAAAACAAGCAGCGATTTAGAAAACAAGCAGAATCTCGGTCAAGCGAGGTCATTTTTAGAAGAAATAGGAACGGTAAGACTCATAATCTATCAGACTAAGGCAGAAAGCAACCAGGCAGCGCGGCAATAACCAGTGAAATCATTCTTGTTGGGCCAGATGAGATCTGAACCGGGTGACATTGCTTCTGAGCTTAGCAATCACACCGATGTTGAACCCAAGGCCTTTCAAGTCTTTGATTGAAAGCAATCGAAACATCTTGTATCGGTCGATGTCGTTCTGGAGGAGCGTGGTCAGAATATTGTCACGCTTGTGGGGAGCGATGCTGATAAACTCAAGATAATCAGCCATAGTGTCAGCAGCATCCTCACCGATAACCAGGGAGGGCCGAGAAGTACGCTCGTTGACCGGGTGCACAGCCTGATTTTGATTTACAAGCCAACGAGAGAGCTCAAGCAAGGTGTTGGTGGTAGCGTTGTCAGTCGGACCGAGTTGAGTCTTTGGGGCCTTTCGGGTGAGGTACTTGATCGAGGCCGGTGGGGACACCAAACTGACTCCAGCCACGCGCATGCACTAAAAAAAAGGGCCCGATGAGAGATGAGTTTTCCAAAACGTTGGAAGCTAGTGAAGTGAGGCTTACCAAATCTTTAGCCCACTTGTCAACATTTCCTGCGGTCAAGAGGATGTATCAATCAGCGTTGGTGGGATCAAGATACACAGGATGGATGTGGTCGTATTCAGTATTCATGCCGTATTTGGCATAGATCTTGTCAACATGTACATCTAGGTCTTCAAAGTCTCCATCAGAGGATTTATCCTCCTTTGGTCAAGAGCAATCGTCAGTCATCAAGGTCGCGCCGGGGTAACAAAGCAACAGAGACAAATCAACACACCTCATCAGAAGAGACACCTGCAATCACAGGACCCCGGCGACCTTTACCCCTTGATGCACCCTTGTGGCGAGCGTCAAATCGCTTCATCGTTTTGGCTACCAAATCCTCCTTTCGAGCACGAGCAAGTTTATCCTTTGAATTCTCCATGCGGACAAAGACACCACCTTTGGTTTTTTTGGTGAGCTTGATCTCGTCGATCCACTGTGAGAAAGAAGTCGGGTCAAAGAGAAGAAGGGGAGTAGACTTGGGATATTTTCTGTTCTTGAGAATGTAAGCACTCCAGGTAATGGTCGGCAATGAGCAGTGGGTACCCTCGTGGATCATTCTGCCGATGTTGTCGTAATCATTGTTACATTTTTTGGCAATGATCTCTTGGAAGTGATTCAAATTTATGTTATCGTTTGTGTTGAAAGTAACAGAGAGATCAGAAATTGGCTGATAGACCACACAAAGTTATACTTGTAGGAGGAGAATGAGTGCTTGGTGTTATCACAAGATCGGGTACCTGGGAACAACGATGTACTAAGATTCCTGCTGAGTAAGATGGAACCTCAATCAGAACGGGGTTAAATATACAAGCACAAGCACAAAAGGACCAAGATTCTAACTCACCTAACAGTGCAAGAAATAGGATGATACCGGTTGGAGAAAATTCTGACCACTTAGATGATCAAATGAGCTGGGTCAGCATGCTGATCATATCAATGGCCCTAGATGGGTTCACTGTTCAGACGGTGCAATAGGTTGATTGGACTGATTTGATTGTTCATCAATTGGTGGGATGCTTGATGATCTTGATGACAAAAGTCGTTCATGGAGCAGTGGTCTGGATATGGATCGGATGGATTGGTCCTAGCATGGTGGGATGGAGGTAATCAATGGTAGGGCTGGATGGGATTGGAGAGGATGGGAAGGGGGGGCAATAGTGTGGAGGGTATGGGATATGGGATATCTGAGTGTAGAAGAAGGGCCCGACATGGGGCTGTCAAGTTTGATCTGTTTGGACTCTCACAGGAAAAAAAAGGGTTCACACGGTACTCTGGAACAAAACCAAAAAATAAAAATAAATATTATGCAACAGCTAGATTAGTTGTTGAGGAAAGTGTCCAAGATTTTCGGGAAAGACAATATGCAACAACATAACCAAGAATATAGCTGATTTTACATAGTGAACCATAACTTTGTGCAATTTGGGACTTGAAACACATATGGCACCCTGCAAGTGGTGGAAATCCCTTCTGGTCATTGTGACCATACAGTCTTGACCACCAGAGTAAATCCCTCCCATTCAGTGGGGTCTGTCCAGCAGGGAGGCAACTCTCAAACTGGTGGAACCTCCCACTTGCCAATGGCAAGGACGGCTTGGGGCACTGGCTCAAAACAGGGGGTGATAACCGCACGCAACTCTCATGCGCACGCAAATCCGCACGCAGAGCAGATTGGGGCGG